CAGTCGCACTTACCAGAGTCCGGGGAGAATGGGGCGATATATTCAGTTTTGCTCAACACCATCGGGATGCAACCTGGTCTAATGACCGACAAAATATCGAATAAGGGAGATAGCTTATTATGGATCCTAAATCACATACTGGGGGAGCAGGGTTAACCTTATCTCCCCAAGTCTCCTCACTTACTGCCCCGGAGTGTCGGAACAAGACCTAGAACCCTAAGCAGGTAACAGGATATTACTTGAGTCCTGTTAGTAGTTTCAACAAAAACGGCAAATAAATTAGAAACAAGGTTCACGTGTTTGTCTAACACGTGGATTACTCACCAATATGTAGGCGTCTGATTCGGAGGGAGAAATGCGTAGGCAGGCCTCAATGAACTGGTCCAGATAACGGATCCGGATGGGCATAGGAATTTTGTTGCTCGGCCTAAGGGGTTTCTTTGGGCGGGTAAGGATGCGTGAAGAGGTAGAGGACGGTGGCGGGGGAGAGTGAGCCTAAGACAAACAAAAAGTCAAAGGGAAAAGGAGGAAAAATTGCTGAAAATATGATAAGTCAGTATATTCTAGTTTCACCTGGAAGGCGAAAAAAAAGATGAAGCTGGGCAATTAACAACGTGCAAATGGGAAGCTGGCAAGTTTAATAGACCGAAAACACGATAAGTATCAACCAGGCGATCATTCAATTATGAATATTTCGACGGCCAACACTTCAACCAACTGAGCTATGAAAACCCAACTACGAGTCCAAAATTATTCAAATTCAGATTAAGTAAATCATCTTATCTACCGCAGCACATATTAATTGTACGACCTCACGGGGGAGACGCAACTCAGCCAATTAAAAGACTGGCTGTTTACTAAGAACTTGCCCCTTCTATCGGGATCTGAACTACCGAAGACCATTAACTGCTTCCCAATTCGGTAGTCAGCTAAATCACTCAAACCTGAAATATTACTTATTACTGTTAAATCGAGCAAAAATGTATTTCTCGGACAAAGAAGGCTACCAGGAAAAACTGAATTACTTATTTGAGTTATTCTCCCAATACGGTTATCCACGAGAATTTATACGCTGCTGTATGAGACAACAATCGTCAAAGAAAAAAGATTCAGGCAGTAGCAGTCAGACGCCATATACTTGGCGTAGCCTTCCTTACATCAAAAACGTGTCTGAAATTGTTGACAGACATTTGAGGAAGCACCACATCCGGGTGGCCCATAAACCAACAACGATATTATGCACCCAATTGGTACATCCTAAGGATAGGGTGAACTATTTAGACAGGAAAGAAGTTGCCTGTAAAATCCTATGTGGAGCATGTGATGCCGTTTATTGTGGCAAGACCGGAACATCCGCCTCTGTGCTCATGTATGAACACCAAGTGGCGGTAAGAAGACGAGACCATCTCTCCCAAGTCATCATGCATAGCCTAGACACCGGGCATACGTTCGCGTGGGACAAAACTCTTATTGTCGCTACCTGTCCTTCCAAGAAAGGCCGTGAATTCCTCGAAGCAATGCACTCGGACACATCATGCATCAATAGGCATGTTCAGTTGGACTGTTCGTACAAAAATCTCAGGCAGAAATGGACGAGACGCAAACTGATCCGAACAGGGGGAGACACATGGCAGCCCATTACCATCAGCCACAACTGTATGCTGCAAACTCAGCCCCCCCCCGCTTGGATGACTGTCTGTTCACCTCCTTGTCTGCGCACTCGCGATGTTAGCTGTTTTGGCACATTTACTTTTCTCTGCGTCTGATGATGAGCTGTGGTTCCGGTCTCGAAAATTCAGAAAATAAATTTTTATTTCCCGAAGAACGTATTCAACCTCAACATTGCTTACATAAATCCATAGATCTTGTTATTTTCTTATGAAATCTCACACAGAACTCCGGAAAAAAATAACTTAACGTGCAAGACAGAAAGATGATATGGCCAGTCGCAATTGAAACGAAAAAGGAGATAAGCCAGGAAATATTCCTAAACAGGGCAATGCGCCTGAAAAATAGGAAAGTTAACGATAGTCAACTTTTAATAAGAGTGATAACAACGTTTCTTATTGAGTGTCCCGCCTACATAACACAACTGCGAAACTTATAAAGACTGGTCAGTGTCACAACAAACTGAAAAATGTCCCCTAATTACTAACCCCCAAAGGATCCAAAACAAAGTTTGCTTACATCTTCAGGGTCGGGTGGAAAAGCAGAATGCGTAGCCTTTATTGAGGTATGAGAGTTTGCTTCATCCTTTTTATCCTCTGCCTCCTCGTCCTCTTCACTGTCATCCTCGTACAGGTCACGATACAGGGAAATAATTTTTTTGCGCTTCTCCTCCGGATCCTCGTCCGCATCATCCTCAGTTCCTGTCGATGGCCTTTTAACAGGCTTTGGTGGTGCAGCGGGGACGTCTGAAGGGCTTCCAGAGAGCCTGGGGTTGGTGGCAGTCGAAGTGTTTGGAGGAACAGGGGGCTTAGCGGTTTGGAGATGCTTGCGTGGCCGTTTGAAGACTGGTGGTTGTGGGTCTACTTCTGGCGGATAAGCCGGTGACGGCTTATAGAAGGGCGACACAGAAATGCTTTCGGGTGAGAGTGAACTGGACGAACGTTTCACAACAACGGGGGAGTAGGTGGGGCATTCCCCAACTATTGGCCAGGCGGGAACATTGAGGGGAGAGTAGATCGAGGGAGAGTCATCGTCAATGTGTTTGGCGAGCTCACTTAGAGGGGTTGGATTATAAATGGGCAGTGACTGGTCCACACTGTTGCAGGCCGAGTACTCATAGCTTGTAGAATGGTCTCCATCAGTTGGTTTCGTAAGGTCAAACGAATTATTATCAAGTAGACTGATTGGAGTTGGTTTGTAAATTGGGTCAGGTGGTGCCGAGCCCTTCATTTTCATTTAAGTCGGCATCTATGAAAGATAAAAATATAAAAGGAGCTGGGAAATTTTAAAAGAATAAAGTATTCGTCTTTATGTTTGCATTTAGTCAAGACCGACGAAAACTTGCACAGAAGACGCTCAATGAGGACTTAAAAAACCGCTAAAAATTGGAATTTCTTAGCTAAGACCGTGCGCTCTGGAGAAATTTTCAAGTGCTACTATAAAAAACGTAATTAAGTAGGCATTCTAAACAGCACCCGTGTGTCAGACCTGAGCCTTTTAGGTGCAAGTAGTACCACTGCCGGTGGTTAATGACTCGACTTGATGTTGGTTATTTTGAGAACAGCCTTCCTCGTAAGGCGGTTCTGCCACCCATGCAGATGAGCTAGTGAAAAATAATCAGTCAAAGAGGTAGACGCATTCCTAGGTATATAAAGTACTTGTGCTAAATATCCCACCTCCACCCGAAAATTGGCTAGGGACGTTTCGTTGACTGAGCACAACTTGTTTGTAATAGGTCCGAGGACTGATAGGTACAGTATACCTCCGCAAGCTATTGATAAGAGCGAGCCCAGCACGGCTGCCACCACAAAACTGACCGCCGACTAATGGTATAGGCTAACCCTAGTGTTAGCTAGAGCAATATTGCTCTAGCCCAATTAATTGTCCAAGTGGGCAATTGCGAGCCAGTATGTTTGATTCAAAAATTAAGCTTGACAAAAACCTTTATTCTTTAATGTCAGGGAACTAAAGTTTTTTACGTCACTGATAAAATATACGAAGGATAAATGGCAAACAAATGACGCCGATACGCAATCTTCCACTAAAAAAGGCAAAGCCAAAACGCCACCGAAGGACCAAACTTCAAAGTCTCACGCCCAAATTACAACCTATAAACTAAGTATTTAACGACCGCTGAAGTAGAAAAATGGCCACAGAGGAGCATTCTGCAAGTTCGTAGATTTATTAAGCAAAGAATGTAGCAATCTACTTTCTATAATAAAAATGATAATAATGGCATTTTTGTTTAAAACAAACACGATGAAGGCATAAATTTGCTGTGTCCGAAATAAAGGACGGTTTCGATTCTACAACACTACCCTTGAATTTTGTTTCGAATTCCATAACTTCAGTTCATAAACAAACCTTACCTCTTCGCATGTTTGACAATCAAGGCTGTCGTTGACAGATGTCAAAAAACGGCCTGGGACACAGAAATCTTCCCTGGGAAGGCCAAATGTAAACCGTATCGCAATCACAATTGGCTTCACTGAAACAAACACAATAAGTATAAGAAAGCTTGCTTACCATTTGAGTAGCCTAACAGTAACATACCTTTGATGCCGTTTTAATATCAGCCGTCTTTGTTGAACCGTTTTATTGACTTTGCTGAAGTCAGCGTAGACCGCGTCGACCGACAAACCTATTCCTACTGGCTTGAATGAATTCGATGTCCTCTGAAATGGACTACATTTTTTGTTTAAGCCTACCAAACAAAGATGGCGTCCTGTTCAACATTTTAAAGGCCTGTACAAATTATATTATTGCTTTCCTGTTGCTGAAGTATCTTGATTCGAAGGCAAAATTTTTCCAGCTAATGAAAGGAATCACACATTCTGCCTGTCCCGAAACACAGCTGATCTACATCATTTGAAAACTTAAGGCCAATAAGCACTCTTCCAGCAGCCTCAAAAATTTTGGAAACCCTCATCAAATACGAGGTAATTCTTCCCATAACAGACAATACTATTCTTAATGCAACTCTTACTGGCTTTCTCAAAAAATCTTCTGACGCCTACTATCTCTCTCTCTCTCATGAACTATGTGCTACCATCTAAAGACAATGTTCATGCTTTTTCTACGGTCTTTTTTGGTTTTACATAGGCTTTTGATCATGTTAACCTATTTTTTGCCCGCGTATGAATAAAACTTTCCAATATTTTCCCAACTCCACAAATGTAAGGAGTGAAGTTATGCGGGGTAGGGTACTCACCCCTTTCTTATTTTACCTTTCCTTCTATTTTGTTCCAGATTGTTTTCATAATGGTAGGTCCTTTTTGTATACTAATGATTTAAAACTTGCCCATCGATATAAAGTAGCGGATTGCGGGATAGTAATCGAACTTATAGAAGGGGGTCATGTGGCCTTTGCCCGACGTTTCTGCACATGTGATCATTCCCTTTCTTTACACAAATGCTCCGTGTGTGTGTGTGTGCCGGGCACCTAAACGGGTCGCGCGGTATATGCGCTGGACCAACACGGGGGCCAGATCAGGGTACAGTAGGCGTTAATCGGGTTGGCGTTATTCGGGTCAACGACTCATAGCAAATGCCGAACACGAGGTACTTGGTGGCACGCATAGGGGTGGCCTCGGCAACGTCAGCCACCTGAGCCATCTCCCACCTTCGGTGTTCTTGACTTTGTCTTTATATCAGGCTAAGGTGAAGGATGTTC